CCCTCATCTGCTGCGGGTGGGGGTGAGCCGTGTTGCTGTCGATATACAAAAACAAATAGCTGTGTTATATATAGAAGCGGCAAAGAAGAGAGAAGAAAAAGATAATAATAATTATAATGAAGAAGAAGAAGAAGAAGAAGAAAGTGAAGAAGAAATAGGAAAAGGGAAAGGTGCATATACACCTGAAATTGATGAAAGTGGAAATGATGATACAGAAGAAGAAAACAAAAAAAACAAAAAAAGAAAAGGAAAAAGAAGAAAAAAAAAACAACAACAACAAGAAGATAAAGAAGAAGAAGAAGAAAATAAAGAAAACAACAAAGAAGAAGAAGAAGAAGAAGACGAAGAAAAAGAAGAAGATAAAGAAAGTGAAGAAGAAGAAGATAAAGAAGAAGAAGAAGAAGAAGAGATAGATGATGAAGAAGAAGATATAGAAGAAGAGACAGAAGAAGAAGAAAAAGAAAATGAAAGTGAAGAAGAAGAAGATAAAGAAAGTGAAGAAGAAGAAGAAGAGGGGGCCCCCGAGGGTACTGGGGGGCCCCCAAGGAAGAGGATGGGGGCCCCCTACAGTCGAGGGGGCCCTAAAGGAGACAATGAAAGCAAAAGAAGAACAGAAGAAGACGCAGGAAGAGAAAATACACAAGTAATTGCTGCTGCTGCTGCTGCTGCTGCTGCTGCTGCTGCTGCTGCTGCTGCTGCTGCTGCTGCTGCTGCTGCTGAGTGGTGGTGCTGCTGCTGCTGCTATTTGTTAAGATGCATGCAGAGGCTGCTGCCGTGCTGCTGCTGCTGCTGCTGCCGTGGTGCTGCTGTTGCTGCTGCTGTTGCTGCTGCTGCTGCTGCTGCAGTACAGCATTCTTTGCATCCACCCCGACAACAAGCAGCAGCAGCAGCAACAGCAGCAGCAGCAGCAGAAGCTGCTGTTTGTCGTGTTGTGTATGGGTGTTACGTGGTGTTGCGTCGTTCCTCTTCTAGGGGGTCTAGGGTTTAGGGTTTAGGGTTTAGGGTTTAGGGTTTAGGGTTTGTGTGCAGGCGAATCGAGGAGGGGATGCCTCTCCAAGCAGCATTTACTAAATATTAATTTATTTTATATTTTATTTATTTATTTTGTTTTCTTCTTTTGTTTCTTTTTCTTTCTTTCTCTTTCTTTCTCTGTCTCCTTCTTTCTTCTTTTTTTCTTTTATATGAAGACCCCCCCCAAACCTCTATTTATTTAATTCGCTGTTTTAGGGTTTAGGGTTTAGGGTTTAGGGTTTGAGCCTTACAGCAAAGAAAATAAATAGAAAGAGAGAAAAAGATAAAATAAAAAAACAAAAAAATAAACACAAAAAAATAAACAAAGAAAATAAATACAATAAATAAACGCAAAGACAAAGCAATACAGACAAATATATACGTGCAGCAGCAGCAGCAGCAGCAGCAGCTGCTGCTGCTGCTGGTGCTGCTGATGCTCTAGGACAGTTGTTGCAGGAGATGACGGGCTGCTGCTGCTGCTGCTGCTGCTGCAGCAGCAGCAGCAGCAGCAGCAGCTTGTGCTCAGCTCTAAGGACTACAGCAGCAACAGGCACATCACCAGCAGCCAGATCAGCAACAGCAGCAGCAGCAGCAACAGCAGCAGCATGAACAACAACAGCAGCAGCAGCAGGAGCAGCAGCAGCAGCAGTAGCAGCAGTAGCAGCAGCAGCAGCAGGAGCAGCAGCAACAGCAGCAGCAGGAAATAGTATAAAGACATGCATGTTGCATGCATTATTGTTGTTAGCTCGGAGTCAATTAAATAAACTAAATAAAAAAAAGACAAAAAGAAAAAAAGAAAAAACAGAAATGCATCTGCTGCCCCCTCCTATTTTCTTCTGCCGCTAACAACATACAAAAGCAGCAACAGCTGCTGCTGCTGCTGCTGCTGCAGCTGCTGCTCCTGCTGCTGCAACTGCTGCTGCTGCTGCTGCTGCTGCTCCTGCTGCTGCAACTGCTGCTGCTGCTGCTGCTGCTGCTCCTGCTGCTGCAACTGCTGCTGCTGCTGCTGCTGCAGGTGCAGCTGCTGCAACTGCTGCTGCAACTGCTGCAGCTGCTGCAGGTGCTGCTGCTGCTGCGGCTGCTGTTGCTGCTGCTGCTGCTGCTGCTGCTGCAGCATAAAATATAACTCCGGCTAAATGACTGTCCCTTGGGTGTAAATAATTAAACTGGCGACCTCACAGCTTCTGCCTCTTTGGACTCGTTCTGCTGCTGCTGCTGCTGCTGCTGTTGCTGCTGCTGCTGCTGCTGCTGCTGCTCCCTAGCCACGCTGTCTGCTGCTGCGTCATCATTCTGTGGTTTCCCCTGCTGAGAAGCAAAACAAAAAAAAATAAAAAAAATAAAAATAAAAATAGCAGAAGATACACCGGAGCAACACTCCTGCTGCTGTTTGCATGCAAGGACTGCAGCAGCTCGAAGGCGTGCAGCAGCAGCCTTGCCAGTGTATCAACAACAAAAGCAACAGCATCAGCAACAGCAGCAGCAGCAACAGCAGCAGCAGCAACTGCAACAGCAGCAGCAGCAGCAGCAGCAGCAGCAGCAGCAGCAGCAGTTTATGGTTTTGCTGTTCTCACATTTTCTGTGTCCGAGTGCAATTCATCTGGGGGCTGCACAATTAAACAAAAAAATAAAAAAACAAAAAAAAAAACAAAAAAATAAAAACAAAAATAAATAAAAATAGTAAAAATAATAAACAGAAAAAGAAAAATATAAATATAAAAAAGACAGAAAGGGAAGAAAAGAAAAAAATATAATTTGAATGCGAAAACACGAAACAGCTGCTGCTGCTGCTGCTGCATGCAGCAGCAGCAGCAGCAGCAGCAGCAGCAAGTCAAAAGGAGGAGAAGCAAAAGGCAGCAGCAGCAGCAGATAAAGAATAAAAGACAGACGATGATAGAAAGAGCAGCAGCAGCGCATGAGGAAAAACAGCAGGCAGCAGCAGCAGCAGCAGCAGCAGCAGCAGCAGCAAATGATAAGCAATAGACAACGACAGCAGCAGCAGCAGCAGCATCTAAATACAAAAGAAGAACCCCGCAGCAACAGCAACAACTAAATACAAAAGAAGAAGGCGGCAGCAGCAGCAGCAGGAGTTAAATCCAAACGAAAACAGCAGCAGCAGCAGCAGCAACAGCAGCAGCAGCAAAATGCAAAAGAAGAAGACAGCAGCAGCAGCAGCAGCAGCAGCAGCAGCAGCAGCAGCAGCAGCAGCAGCAGCAGCTCACTGGTTCTCTCTCCACTATAACCGAGCCGCAGTTGCTGACTTCTGCTGCTGCTTCTCCCCTCCTACCCCTTCTCTTGGCTCGACGGAGACGCCTGCAGCAGCAGCAGCAGCAGCAGCAGCAGCAGCAGCAGCAGCAGCACAGCAGCACAAAAGCAAATTGAACATATCATACAAAACTCAAACAATACATATTTGCAATAAGGCAGCAGCAGCAGCTGCTGCTGCTGCTGCAGTTGCTGCTGCTGGCGGGGTAGGCAATCATCGACACAGAAACCCAACCCTGCAGCAGCAGCAGCAGCAGCAGCAGCAGCAACAGCAGCAGCTGCTGCTGTTGTTGCTGCTGGTGGCTGCGGTGTGAATCATCGACAGC